CATGCATCAACACCGTCCAGCCATCCACGTCCGCATGTTCTATGTTAGCGCCCGCACCTAATAATGCTGTGATCGTATCCGTATGACCGCTACTGGCAGCATGCATCAACACCGTCCAGCCATACACGTCCGCGTGATCTATGTTAGCGCCTGCACCTAATAACGCTGTGACCGTATCCGTATGACCGTTACCAGCTGCTGCTATTACTGCGGTCCAGCCATTCACGTTCGCGTGTTCTATGTTAGCGCCTGCACCTAATAACGCTGTGACCGTATCCGTATGACCGCTACCAGCTGCTGCTAGTAATCTGTCACCTGTGGGGGACGCTAGTAATCTGTCACCTGTGAGGGACGCTAGTAATCTGTCACCTGTGAGGGACGCTAGTAATCTGTCACCTGTGAGGGACGCTAGTTCTCTGTCACCTGTGAGGGACGCTAGTTCTCTGTCACCTGTGAGGGACGCTAGTTCTCTGTCACCTGTGAGGGACGCTAGTTCTATTTTTGCACCTGCATATAATAAAGCTGTAACCGTATCCATATGACCGCTAGCAGCTGCTACTATTACTGCGGTGTGGCCTTTCATGCTCGCGTGTTCTATGTTAGCGCCTGCACCTAATAACGCTGTGACCGTATCCGTATGACCGCTAGCAGCTGCTACTATTACTGCGGTGTAGCCATTCACGCTCGCGTGTTCTATGTTAGCGCCCGCACCTAATAACGCTGTGACCGTATCCGTATGACCGCTACTGGCAGCATGCATCAACGCCGTCCAGCCATACACGTCCGCGTGATCTATGTTAGCGCCTGCACCTAATAACGCTGTGACCGTATCCGTATGACCGCTACCAGCTGCTGCTATTACTGCGGTCCAGCCATTCACGTCCGCGTGATCTATGTTAGCGCCTGCACCTAATAACGCTGTGACCGTATTCGTATGACCGCTACCAGCTGCTGCTAGTAATCTGTCACCTGTGGGGGACGCTAGTAATCTGTCACCTGTGAGGGACGCTAGTAATCTGTCACCTGTGGGGGACGCTAGTAATCTGTCACCTGTGAGGGATGCTAGT